TCATTTCAGTTCCTGATTTGGCTTTCTATGTCACTGAGAAAATAGAAGCAGTCAAGTAAAAATGTTCCCAAGTTCCCACTATAACACCTCCTCACCTGCCTGCACCTGTACCCCTATATGTTGCTTCCCCAGGTGTGCTCTTTCTGGGGACAATGCCTTGTGCCTAAGAGCCCATCCCCTCTTGCCTATTGTGGAAGTTAAAGTTATATGTCAACTTGGCTGGGCTGTGGTTTTGAGTGATTTGGCAGGTGGATGCCATTATTCCCCATGACAAGATTGGAATCAACTCCATAGTAAATCTGCTGTTAGCAGCTAAGTAGCTGCCTTCAGGGTGTGGCCTGCTTCTAGTATGAAGAAGCTTTGCGGAAGGTCTTGAGCTTTTGGCATATCTAGATCCTGCATTTGACTGAGTCTACATATCAGTGGCCTGCCACGTTGCTGCGCCAATTTTGAGGTTGTTCCTAGAATTAAACTAGTTGCCTACCATGTTGTCTGTAATCTTGGGACTGTGCCATTTTACCTGTCAATCTTGGGTTTGTCAGCCTCAACAGCCAGCAGCTGTGTGAGTCAGAAAATGCCTACAGCTCTAGTGGCATGAAACAGAAGGTAGAGCTGAAGCCTAAGGACTTCTAGACTCCTAAACTGTAAGAGAGTAAGTCCCTGTTTGTTAAAGCTATCCACTTGTGATATTTTCTGTTATAGCAGCACTAGAGAACCAAAACACCTTTATATAAAGACAGTGGTCCTGGAAGTTATAAGAATGAGAGGCAGACTTCTGTTTTCAATCAAGATGGAGTTTGTCCTTCAGTTTTAAACACCCAAAAAGCCAGACAAAATATATAAAACAATGGTTTTCAGATCATGGATGACAAGAAAACATAAGGCATTGATCCCTAAGAAAAAGTAAATGAGATGAGTGCAACGATTGCCCCAGCTGACTATCTGAAGAGAATTTCCACAATAGAGCACAAAAGGGTTCCTGAGTAGTGGAGTCAGTAATAGGAGGTTGGGGAGGCTATGGTGGTGGCTAGATGAGGGCAGTGGTGGGTCAGTGGTAGAATTTTTGCTTTCCATGTGGGAAACTTGGGTTTGATTCCTGGCCAATGCTCTTCATGCACATTCATGTTGCTATGATGCTAAACAGGTTTCAGTGGAGCTTCCAGACTAAGATGGATGAGGAAGAAAGGCCTGGTGATCTACTTCCAAAAATCAGCCAATGAAAAGCCCAGAAGGCAGGAAGGGATAGGAAGGATGGACGAATGGAAATGGCAGATACAAGGACAAAGTGGAAAGGGTACTGTGTTGTTGTTGTTATTGTTATTGTTATGTGCCGTCAAGTTGGACTGGACTCATAGCAACCCCTCCTTGGATTTTCAAGGCAGTATCGCTGTGGAAGTAGATTGCCCAACTTCCCTTCCGAGGAGTGGCTGGTGGGTTTGAACCACCAGCTTTCTGGTTAGCAGTCAAGTGCCTTAGGCACTACGCTACCAGAGCTAAATTGTAGGGATTGCAATTAATGTCACAAATAAAAATGTATATGAATTGTTGAATGGAAAACCAATTTGCTATGTAAACTTCCATCCAAATCACAATGAAAAGAAAATAAATAAAAACAAAAATCAACCAATGAAACCTGTATGAATCATACCAGTCTGGTCCACAACCCATCATGGGGGTGGCATCCAACTGGGCAGCACTTAATGCCCTTGTGCACTAAGTTGGTCGGGGGCCAACTTGATGGCAGCTAACAACAACAACATGGTCCTAGAGTTTACAGGGAGGAGAATCAGAAGGGAGAGATGCAGGGAGAGAGAGAAGATAGGAGCTCTGGAGATCAGTAGAGGGTCCCCCTCAAGTACTTCAGCTGAATACCGATTAGTGAATGCAGGTGAGGAAAGTATCTGAAGCCCAGGTAGGAACCACTGGAAGAGAGCCAGTAAGGAGTTCATGGAGTTCCCCCAGAGCTGGAAACAGTTTATGTTCCTAGTGATCAGAGTGGAAAATACCATATACATTGGGCATCAGGAAGAGTATTCAGAAGGGTATTGCCTCAGTAGTGAAGATAAATTAGCCCTAGATTATAGTCTGCATTGAGCCTACATGGATGAGTGTTAGGTGCCGTTGAGTCGGCTCTGACTCATAGTGACCCTACATAATACCTCATTGGGACACTACCTGGCCCTGCACTATCGTCACAGTCTTTGCTGTGCTTGAGCCCATCATTACAGCCACTGTGTCAATCCACCTCATTGAGGATCTTCCCCTTTTTTACTGACCCTCTACTTTACCAAACATGATACCCTGCATAAGCAACCTGGTAAAAGGCTAAACCTCTTTCTTAATAACTGTGTCTAAGGACAAACTCAAAAACATTTAAAAGAATATTAAAAAGATATACTATCCAATAATGTAAAATGTATAATGTCTGAATCCAAGTAAAAATCACCATCCATGCAAATTAGAAATTACAACCTATAATTAGACCAAAATATCTATCAATAGAAATAGAATCAGAAATGATATAGGTGATAGAATTAGGATACAAGAACAGATATTATAAATATACTCCTGTGTCCAAGAAGGTGTAAGGGGAAACATGAGCATGTTAAGGAAAGAACTGGAAGATGCTTAAAAAGACCTACATTAAATTTCTAGAGACGAAAAACACACTGGATGGTATTAAATCAGGTTAGACCTTGCAGGAAAAAAAAATATTAGTAAATTTGAAGACATAGCAAGATAAACTATCCAAAATGAAGCAGAGAGAAAAAAAAGATGGAGGGTGGAGAAGAACTGAGCATCAGTTACTTAGACCAAAAACATTAGTTTTTCTTCATTCTTTCTCATAACATACACCCAAATATACTTTTAAATATACATTTTCAAAATATATACAAAATCAGACTGGATAACCTCCACCGCTACCACCCTAGTCCAAGTCAACATTACCTCTTGCATGAATTATTATTAGAACTTCTGAACAAGGATGCTTTTAGTCTTGCCCCCTAAACACACAGCAGTCTGATCATGTCCCTCTCTGCTTAAAATCTCTAGTGACATGATCTGGACACCAGCTCTCTCTTTGGCCTCATTCTTTATCACTCTCTTCTTGCTCACTGTGCTCCAGCCTCATTGGCCTCCTTGATATTCCTAGAAAACATCAATCACACTCTTGCCTCAGAGCCTTTGCACTGGCTATTCTTTCTATGAGGAAAAGTCTGCTCTCAGATATCCATATGGTTTGCTCCCTCACTTCCTTCCAGTCTCTGTTCAGTTTTCACCATATCGAGGATGCTTTTGTTGTCTGTTGTTGTTGTTGTTATGTGCCGTCAAGTCGGACCCAACTCATAGCGACCCCTCCTTGGGTTTCCGAGGCAGTATCACTACGAGAGTAGATTGCCCCATCTTCCTTCCGAGGAGTGGCTGGTGGGTTTGAACCACCAGCCTTCTGGTTAGCAGTCAAGTGCCTTAGCCACTATGCTACCAGAGCTCCCTAGCCTACACATAATAGCAACTCCCTAGGGAGTCCGGCTCGACAGCACATAACAACAACAACAACAAACCCTTGCCCAGAGTCCCACATTGATTCAAAGGGTTAATGAGCTTGTTTACTAACCGAAAGGTTAGAAGTGTGAGTCTACCAAAAGGTGCCTAGGAAAAATGACCTGGAGATCTACTTCCAAAACATCAGCCACTGGAAGCCCTATGGAGCACAGTTCTACTCTCATAGACATGGGGTTGCCATGAGTCAGAATCTGCTGCAGTGTAAGTGGGTACCCTTGCCCACTGGCATTCCCCGTTCCCCACCCCCCACCCCCAGCTCAATTCCTCTCCAGACACATCTTTATTTGTTGATTCATTTTTCAACTCCTCCCTCTACTAGAATGTATACTCCATGAAGGAATTTTGTCTCTCTTGCTCATTGCTTTATTCCCACCACTTAAAACAGTCCATGTGCATAGTGTGTTGTTGTTGTTATGTGCCGTCGAGTCAGACCCAACCCATAGTGACCCCTCCTTGGGTTTCCGAGGCAGTATCACTACGAAAGTAGATTGCCCCATCTTCCTTCCGAGGCACTCAATAAATACTTGGTGAATAAAGTAATGAATGAAATATTCCTTGTTATAGGATTTAAAACCAAACTCACTGCCATGGAGTCAATTCAATTCATAGTGATCCCTCCTTAGGTTTCTGGGTAGTATCTCTACAGAAGTAGATTGCCCAATCTTCCTTCCAAGGAGTGGGTTTGAACTGCCAGCTTTCTGGTTAGTAGTCAAATGCCTTATGCATTACACCACCAGAGCTCCTGTTATAGGATTTGGGAGATCTAATTATTTGTTGTTATTTCTCAAAAAATGAGCTTATTTACATAGTTAAACTCATTTAAATTATAACACATGTGGTTTCATTTTATAATTCATTTTTAATGCACTGCATTAAAAGCCCAAGTGGGGTGTTATGTATTTTATACTAAAAAAAATAGAAGCTAGATGTCAAAGGTGTATTTGGGGATCTAATAGTCCTCTTTGGGCTGGTTGGGAGGAATGCACCTTTGGCATAGCAGACTTGGAAACTGTTTTCTTCCATGGTCCTTCCTATTGGAGAGGAAGTTGGTGGCCTTTGTGACCACAGACAGCCCTATTTCCCAGTGCTCGGAAAGTACTGCAGCGAGACTGTGGGTAATACCAGATGGACCTGCTCTCTGGGGGGATGTGAGCTATTTTTGATTTGTGGGGCAGAGCCATTTTGGATCAACATTGAGCCCCTTCATAAAGGTGAGAGAGAGGAATTAGTCTCCCTTCTCACTATCACCAAATAAAATTCCTACATGACAGAAACGCCATGAACTCAAGATATGGACATACTTTTTTCTAATACAAATGAGCACTAGCACAAGTTATTTGTCTCTTTTTTATGAGACTGTTGATTTAAAAGTACTTAGAATGTTCTAGAAATATGGAATAATGTTCTTGATGCATTTCTGTTTTCAATATTCCTAGTATGCTTTGTCAACCAAACGAAAAACAATTAAAAAGTATGAAGACAGCATAGTATTGAAGGAAAGACAACTCACAAAAGCAGAAAAAAAACTCCAAGAAGATGCAATGGCTTTTGAAGAGTTCCTTCGAGAAAATGACCAGAAATCTGTAGATGCTCTTAAAATGTTAGTTTTCACTCTGTCCAAACCCATTTTGACCTTTCCCTTTTTGCATTTTAGTTTCTCTGAACACAAAACAAAAATTTAACAAATCTCTGTTACTTTTTAGTGCAGCACAAGAAACTTTAAACAAACTCCAAGCAACAGCCGATTTAAAGAAAGCAAGCATGGAAGTGCAGGCAGTGAAAAGGTGAGGGCCCAGGGGAGCTACCTCTTTGTTACTAAATTTCCATGCCCCAGTAACACGTGCTTGTAATGAGGAATACAAGGGAGTAATCGTTATTAGTTGATGATTTCATAAATATGGCCAAATTTTTAAAACAAGTAACCTGTCAGGTACCACCAAGGATCATTCCTTGGTGTACCAGGAAAGTTCAGAGACCTCTGGCTAGTCATTGAACTCATATTTAATGATTTCTGAACAATTTCTCTGACTTACAGATCTAAAAGCAAAGGAATTAGTTGAAAATAAGCAACCAATGTTAGGAGTAAATAATAAATGATCTTCTAATTGCCCCCTTTCTGTTCACTCTGAGATATATTTTTCCCCCACATTTTAACTGAAATTATGATTCATTTTCCAGTCAACGAAGTATTACCATTATCATCGGCAGCATTTTTTTATATTTATACTCACTTTTAGTTGAACCTAGCCATGGTATTGAAAGCCATGGTTTATAATGACAAAAATAACAGGAGCAAGAGTTGGGATACAACTATTGTACCACCCTCTTTCCTTTTTTCAAACCTAGGATGTACCCTTCTATGGTCAAGTGTATCTGACTTCAACTAATTTTAAATATTGAAAGAGTTTGTGTCTGTCATCGTCATTGGACAATAATGTCATGATCCAGTAGACACTGTAGTCTTGGAATCAGGTCATGATAAAACTTTTTCTTTTTGAGGACTTGATGTTTGCCTCTCCTCTAAAATCAAGGTCTACACGTCTTATATCTATACTTTTTTGGAGGAGAGCAAAGCTTGTCTAAAACGCAGTAAATGAGTTGGATCATAGTTTCTTTGAAACCAGCTGCTTCTAACAAAATGTATATTTTAAACACATTTTGGCTACAGTAGCCCCTTCTATTTTAGGAATCTAAAGTTGAAGGTGCTCTAAGGTGGACAAGTTCCTTTCCTCCCCACTCCCTAATGTGATTAGAAGATAACCAAAAGATTCACAGTAGAACCCACCCAGCCGCTCCAAGGGAGAAAGACCTGGAAATCTAGTTCTATAGAGATTACAGCAAAGAAACCCTATGGGGCAGTTCTACTCTGTTACATGGAGTTATTATGAGTTGGAATTCAAAGGACCAAACAACAACACCATTTACTTCTCAAAATAAGAAGTAACAGAGGTAAGTATCCATTAGTAATTGGAATGTGGAATGTACAAAATATGAGTCAAGGAAATTAGAAACCAACAGAAATCAAATGAAACAAATGAAGATGATATCCGAGGTGTTAGTGAACTGAAATAGACTGGCATTGGCCATTTTGAATAGGACAGTTATATGGTCTACTATGCTGAGAATGAAAAATTGAAGAATGGTATCACATTCATCATCAAAAATAACATTTCAAGATCTATTCTGAAGTACAATTCTGTCAGTGATAGGATAATATCCATATGCTTATAAGGAAGAACAGTTAATACTATTATAATTAAAATTTATGCACCAATCACTAAAGCCAAAGATGAAAAAAATTAAGATATTTTCTGCAGTCTGAAATTGACCAAACATGCAATCAAGAGGCACTGATAATTCATGCTGATTGGAATGTAAAATTTGGAAACAAAGACACATCAGTAGTGGGGAAATATGGCCTTGGTGATAGAAATGACATCAGAGATTTCATGACAGAATTTTGCAAGAGCAACAACTTATTCATTGCATATACCTTTTTTCAACAACATAAACAATGACTATACATGTGGACCTTGCCAGATGGAATACACAGGAATCAAATCAACTACATCTGTGGAAAGAGATAATGGAGAAGTTAGAACAAGACCAGGGCCGACTGTGAAACAGAACATCCATGCTCATATACAAGTTTTAAGTTGAAGCCAAAGAAATGAAGCAACTCCACGAGAGCCAAAATATGACCTTGAATATGTGCCACCTGAATCAGAGTCCATCTGAAGGACAGATTTGACACATTGAACACCAGTGACCAGAAATCAAATGAGTTGTGAGATGACAGCAAGGAAATCATCCATGAAGAAAGCAAAAGGTCATTAAAAAGACAGGAAAGAAAGAAAAGACCAGAATGGATGTCAGAAGAGACTCTGAAACCTGCTTTTGAATGTAGAGCTAAAGCAAATAGAAGAAATGATGAAATAAAAGAGCTAAACAAAAGAAATCAAAGGACAGCTTCAGAAGACAAAGTATTATAATGAAATGTGTGAAGACCTGTAGTTAGAAAACCAAAAGTGAAAACTACATTCAGCATTTCTCAAGCTCAAAGAACTAAAGAAAAAATTCAAGTCTCAAGTTATGTTCCATTGAAGGATTCTATAAAAACCAAATTTACAGCCATGGAGTCAGATTCGACTCATAGCAACCCCTCCTTGGGTTCCCAAGGCAGTATGACTACGGAAGTAGATTGCCCAACCTTCCTTCTGAGGAGTGCCTGGTGGGTTTGAACCACCAGCCTTGTGGTTAGTGGTCAAATGCCTTAGGCACTACACCACCAAAGAGAGGTCCCTTGGTTTGTTTTTTTGGATTTTTTTTTTTTTTTATAGGCAAAACCTATTAAAAAAAAAAACTGAACAGTGCAGTAAGCATCAAAAGAAGATGGAAGAAATACAGAGTCCCCGTACTAAAAAGAATTGGTCGATGTTCAACCATTTCAGGAGGTAGCATATGACCAAGAACAGACAGTACTGAAGGAAAAAGTCCAAGCTGCACTGAAGGAACTGGCAAAAAAAAAAAAAAAAAAAAAAAAATGGCTTCAGAAATTGTTGGAATATTAATTGAGATGTTTCAACAAACAGATGCAGTGTTGAAGGTGCTCACTCATTTATGCCAAGAAATTTGGAAGATAGCTACCTGACCAACTGACTGGAAGAAATCCATATTTCTGTCCATCCCAAAGAGAGGTGATCCAACAGAATGCAGGAATTATTGAGTGATATCATTTATATCACCAAAAACCGAACTCACTGCCGTCAAGTCAGATCCAACTCATAGTGACCCCTCCTTGGATTTCCGAGGGGGTATCACTATGGAAGTAGATTGCCCAATCTTCCTTCTGAGGAGTGGTTGGTAGGTTTCAACTGCCAGCCTTCTGGTTAGCAGTCAAATGCAAGTAAAATTTTTCCAAAGATATTTCAAAAACTATTACAGCAGTACATAAATGGGGAACTTTCAGAAATTCATGCCGGATTCAGAAGAGGTCATAGAATGAGGGATTCAGCACCAATGTCAGATGGGTCTTGGCTGAAAGCAAAGAATACCAGAAAGATGTTTACCTGTGTTTTATTGACTATCCAAAGGCATTCGACTGTGTGGATCATAACAAATTATGGATAACATTGCAAAGAATGGGAATTCCAGAACACTTAATTATGCTCATGAGGAACCTGTACATAGACTAAGAGGCAGTCATTCAAACAGAATGAGGGGATACCACATGGTTTAAAATTAGGAAAGGTGTGCATCAGGGCTGTATCCTTTCACCATATTTATTCAATTTGTATACTGAGCAAATAACCCCAGAAGCTGGACTATATGAAGAAGGTGACACTAGGATTGGAGGAAGACTCATTAAAAACCTGTGATATGCAGATGACACAACCTTGCTTGCTGAAAGTGAAGAACACTTGAAGTACTTACTGAGGAAGATCAAAGAGTTCAGCCTTCATTATGAATTATACAACATAAAGAAAACAAAAAGTCCTCATAACTGGACCAATAACTAGTATCATGATAAGTGGAAAAAAGATTGAAGATATCCAGGATTTCATTTTACTTCAAGGCACAATCAACACCCATAGAAGCAGCAGTCAAGAAATCAAAGGACTTATTGCATCAGGCAAACCTGCCACAAAAGACCTCTTTAGAGTATTTAAGACCAAAAATGTCACTCTGAGGACTATGATTCGCCTGACCCAAGCCATGGTATTTTCAATTACCTCATATGCATGCTACAGCTGGACAATGAATAAGGAAGACTGAAGAAGAACTGATACCTTTAAAATATGGTGTTGGTGAAGAATATTGAGTCAATCTTGGACTGCTGGAAGAACAAATCTGTCTTGAAAGAAATTCAACCAGAATGCTCCTTAGGAGCAAAGATAGTAAGAGTTCATTGCACATAGTTTGGCCTTGTTATCAGGAGAAATCAGTTCCTGGAGAAGGACATGATGCTTCATAAAGTAGAAGGTCAGTGAAAAAGAGGAAGACCCTCAATGAGATGGATTGACACAGTGGCTGCAACAATGGGCTGACACAGTAATGATTGTGAGGATGGCACAAGACCAGGCCGTGTTTCCTTCTGTTGTACATGGGTCACTATGAGCCAGGATGGACTCAGTGGCAACAACTCATTCATTGGACATTCCTTTTTCAACAACATGATTAACAACTATACACATGGACCTCACCAGATGAATTACACAGGAATCAAATCCACTATGACCTTGGAAAGAGATGTTGGAGAAGCTCAATATCATCAATAAATACAAAGCCAAGGCCTGACTACAGAACAGGCCATCAATTGCTCATGTGTAAGTTGAAGCTGAGGAAAATCCAAGTCCCCCAGGACAACCTTGAATATATCCTGCCTGAATTTAGAGAACATGTCAAGAATAGATTTCAACACATTGAACAGAATTGTCAGAACACGTAAAAGGCATCATACATGAAAAAAGCAAAAGATCAATAAAAAGACAGGAAGAAGGAAAAGACCAAAATGGATGTTAGAAGAGGCTCTGAAACTTGCTCTGACGGTGTAGAGTAACTAAAGCAAATGGAAGAAATGATGAAGTAAAAGAGCAGAACATAAGATTTCAAAGGGAGTCTTTGAAGAAGACAAGGTAAAGTATTATGATGAAATGTCCAAAGACCTGGAGTTAGTCTAAAACTTAATAGAAACTTCCCATAGAAATAAATAAGTAGAGTAAAACTATTACCAGTCTGTTCTATATGTGTATAACCTTGGGCATGTCTTATTCAAATAACATTACTGTAAGTGTCTCTCATCCCATCTCTTCTCATCTCATCTTAATATAGTCCATATTTTTATGGCCGTACTTGCAATTTCTGACAAGTAAGTTAACATTCAAATACATAATCACAAGAATGAATTTCATAAAGTCTTTTTTTTATTGAACATGATTTCACACAGATATACCTAATCATACCTTTGTTTCTTTTGAGTAGTGAAATAGCAAAAACAGAATTCCTCCTTATGGAGTATATGAAATATGGACTTTTTCTGTTGAAATTATCTCCAAGACACTGGCAAGTCCAGCAAGCACTAAAAAGGATGAATGTATCAAAAAGTAAAGACAATCTGAGTAACATCCTTCCAAAATTATTAGCAAGTAAGTCACATTTTAAATTTCAGTTAGTATTCCTAATTCTTAGATACTCTTCCTCAGTGTTTGTTGTTATTTATTTAAGTAGTCAGAATTTCCATTTTAAACAGAACCAGAACAAGGATTTCCACAATCTCTGCTATTATATACTATTATTTTGGAAACTCAGGTTAATTCCAGATATAAAGTGATAAAATAATACATACAAACAAAGAGAAAACAATTCATTATTTGCAGATGATATGATAGTATACTTAGAATTCCCCCTTTAAAAAACAAACTGGAAAACTATTTGATTTGACTAAATTGTTCTGTGACAGACACAATCCAAGAGAGCAACAATAACCTTAATGTGCATAACCTGAAGATTTGATAGAGAAGTATTTCTTTTTTTTTTTAGACAGGAAGATTAATGTAATAAAGCTGTCAGTTCTGAAGTTAATGTATTAGTTTCATGGAATTATGATAAAGATGTTACCAGAAATTTATCAGGCAGTTGGTTGTTGGGCAGGGGAGAAGCTTACACAATGTTCCTGAGGTTCATGGGGTTACTAATGCTTTAAAATATATATGTTATCACAAATTCTAAAGTAATTAAAACATTATGGTACTGGCATTAGGAAGTCAGCTTAATGAAGGTTGGATTCAGTGGCGTCCTTAGGAGGACATAGGGAGTGTAGACATCAGGTGACACTATCACAGGGGGCTGACACCAAAATGATTGTCTGTAAAATTTTTGTGCAGTGTCTCAGCAAAAATTTATTTTTATAAAAAGTGCCTGTAGTTAGTTATAACAACAAAAACATCTTTTATAACTACAGCTTACATGTATCAATGTATATCTACAAGGCTAAAACCTAATGCTAATTTACTTTTTGAACCTTCTAACGACAACAAAAACGTGCTCTGGTCAGAGCTGTCGCTGTTAACCAATTACAATGATGCTTTGAATCACACACTGCACGTGCTGCTGTTTTTACTGCATCTAGTGTTTTTTTAGTGGCTGATTTTGTCAAATTCTCTGGTGTCTTGGCTACAATATTGTGGTAATTAGTATTTGTGAATCTATATCTTCTTTTGAGAATGAAGTCATAATTAAAGGAAAGAAGGATAAAAAAGAAAAAGGCTTCTGCTCAGTTACTAATAATGTTGTAATTCAATGTAGGAAGATTTTACAAAATTATTTTGTTAGTATTCATATAATCTAAGAAATAATACATTTAAGCAATCTGCAACTATATCACATATTATATTATGATTAAAATTGATAATAAACATTACTAAGGAGTCTATGTGGCCTGGTATGGGAAGTCCATGGGAGAGGTGACTGCACTAGGAGACACCATGATGCCACTGGTTGGATACCCAATAAGCAAAGTAAGCATAGGCTACATGTGCTTACATACTAGTCTGTAGAGAACAATTACACCTTTTTTACCACATCAGAGATCTGCTTCTAGGTATGGTTGGCGTCTTTCTCTCTCCCAACCCCATAGTACCTTCCTACAGAATGAAAGCCTCTTTTCAAATTTACAAACCCTGACAGGGATGGAGTATTTAGTAAGCAAGGTAAGCCGGGCTTACTTATGCTTACTTACTAGTCTGTAGTGAATAGTTCCCCATGTTTTTTAGACGTGTGAAACTGTTCACTACAGATTAGTAAGCACATGCTTACCTTGCTTATTTCTGAATTTATCATAAGAAATCCTATTGTATTTAATAAGTGAGACCACAAATCAGTAAGGGAAGACTTCCACTTCCAGCAACAATGGGGAAACAAGGACCAGACTTACCCTCTTGCCTAGGAAAGCTGAAAAACTGGATAAATATATGAACCAATGGTTTTCAGATGTTGGACATCAGACCATGAAGGACAGTGATCCCTGAGAGGGGAGAAGCAAATGAGGCAAGCCCTAGTTTGCCCCAACCTGGAGAGCATTTGCAGGATGAAACATTGGGAGGGGGACTCTGAAGGAGCCCAGCGGCTCCCCGAACTGAAAAGATAGGAGCTGGGCAGGCCAACGCTGTTAGAGTTCCTGTTGCAGAGTGCTGGAGAGGAGAGTGCACCACAGAGAGTTCTGAGATCACTCTTCAGCGAAAAACTGATCCACAAGACTCCAGAACAGGAGTACAGTATTTATACCACAGAAATTGGCAAACTCTGCAGATCAGGAAGCTTCCCCCCCACCCACCCCAGAGAGCTGGTTGTTAAAAATGTACCGAGTTACCCTTGGTGGTTTCACTGCTTCATACCCATGTGTCTCTATGTGCTGAGTGTGATGGCACATAACAACAA